ATCCCGAATCCCCCTAGAGCCCCTTGATGTGGACAATGTACCTGTTTCTCTTCCAGCTCAAACTTCAATGTCCGCGATGGTTCCTCGCGCTCGGCGCCATTAAAGTAATCAAGCTCCTTCGTTGGATGAAGAAGCCCCATGAACCCAGAATTTCCCCGGGAAGAATAGTCTCAAGTTCGACGAATGAAAGGTCGCCCCACTATGTTCAGGAACAATGATGATTTGATGATGAGTGGGAGCATCGGAGGTGCTGATTCCGACGTCTTAGGGGTCAGAGGGGCCCGTGCCGATATACTCGAGCTGTTGCAGGGCGCTCCCTGGCTACTGTTCGGAGTCCTCCTTGGTCACGGACCTCAGCGCCAATGTCTTGTCCGATCGCGTCCTCGCTTCCATTTCCGGCTCAGCTCTTATCGTCGATAGTGTGAGCGTCGTCCATCAGGTTTCGCGGAATGCCGCCTCCTATTCGTGGCTTCATTCTAGGAGGGTGGCGAACTCATAAACGGAAGCTCCGCTTAATGTTTTAGGCGAGACTTACGTTCTAGCAAGACTGCGAGGGAGCTTCTTGGCTCAAGCTACGCATCATCGGGACGCACTCCTCTCTCCCGTCTCCTGTGTGTTCAGAAGAATGATGATGGTCTCGCTGAGATATTTCTGTGTTTCCCGTCAGCAAAGATTACCAATACAATTGTGCGGGAGGGAAGCCATCGAGAGCATGCCTCGTTGCATTCGCTTATAAGGTTCCAAGCAACGAGTCTATCCTCAGAGATTTCTCTCCGTGAGCCGCTCGGTAAAACACCCGAGGTCAGAGGTTAATCGATTGAATGTGATTAACAACGTCTTAGGAAATAATCTAGTGTCTAAATAATGAGTGGCTCTATTCGTTCCCGATAGCCTTGTTCTTATCTAGAGATTCCGCGCTTTCTGTCTCCCTCGTCAGTTGCTTCCTCAAATGTATTCGGGCGATACATCCGCCGGACTCGACGGCGTTGTTCGTGCGGCTCGGCGCCCGGAACACGGTATTCCTGCAGTACGACTTCTCATATTCCACGGATGGCTTGAGCTGGAACGGGAAGGAGGAATTCCTGAATTTCGGACAGATGAAACTCGAATCCGGAAATCGGATCGGGGACATGTGTATGTGGAGCTTCCGCGTTCTTCTCCTCCAAGATAGGATGCAGTATCGGAGGGAATCGATCATATTCGATATACTGACCTATATCTATATTCGATCAGATCGAGATCGATATACTGACTGCTGGAGCCTCGGCATTAGTTCCTTGCGCGACCTCTACCGGGATATCCGCGACTAGAAGCAGCGAGAGCCCTTATCGAGAGCCCCCTTAGACGGAAAATTGTCCACAATGGACCTGGGCGCCTGATATATCTTGCCTGATGGTGCGGATTGAGCTCTTTAGACCAGCGCTCGGACCGGATGAGAGCGGCAGCCATTCAAGCGCGGTGGGGAATACCTCCCTAACGGCGGCTCGCATGGCGCCATCGTAATCCCCTGTGTAAGCCGCGAATGTCGTTCCGTCGATATCATTCCTTATGGTCCTGAAGACCTCGGTGTAAGCAGGTGTCGCGGCCTCGTTCAAATAATGGCTGTCACAATACCGACCAGGAAATTTTTCGAGTCGTGACTGAACGTAAGGTTACTAATTAGGGAAAGCTCACATGGTTCAGCCATCATCTTCATATATCATACTGACGAATGTGGGAGGGGCCTGGACGTCAACACTGCCACACTCTCTCGTCAGGAATCGCTCATCGAAGAGATACATGCTTCGGTAAGGCTGTTGATCTAGTAGTCTCAGATCATTCCGCAAGCATCCGCTCGAGAGTCCGAAAGATCAGCTAACGATTCGGCGTTGCCGCTTCACGTGTATCTTTTCACCGGGGGGTCAAGGGCCGCGCCCGCGTTCCTCATTCTGGACTCCGACGGGGACGATGAAGGAATGTGACAGAGGCTTGGGATTGGGAGGGTGTTAGGAGGGGTGTCGGTAGACTTGAGAAAGGGGGTCGATTCTGGTACTTCGAGACCGAGTTGGTCATGATCGTGATCGCGCATGAAGGGAATAGCGGGGAGCAGCTTCCCATTGATAATGATGGAATCGTAAGGAGTAGATGGATGAGTCTCCGATTTCATGACGAACTTTTGCGTCATATCGGGATCACTCAGCGGTTATCGCAAGAGCGCCGAAATGAATGCCTTTGATGAGCCGTGGGAGTCATGCCAGCAACAACGGAATGTGACATCGCTCATTGTCATCCAAGAACGAGGAGACCGGGAATCTGCTCCTCAAGGAAGCCAATGAGTCCGAAAATTCGCAGGGCAAGCTGCTCTCTAACAAAGTCTCCTTCAGATGCCCCAGAATTCAGAATCAATTAGCAGATCCTGGCAGAGCTTGAGTCCCTCCGTCGGTCAGCGATGCAAAAGAAGGAGGCCCCGGGCTCCGCCTACTGCTGGATGGACCCATCGGGGAAACTCCTAATGGGGAGAGCAGAGGGTGAAAAAGCGACCTGGATAAAGAATGTGAATGATCTAGACAAACTCAATCAAATCTTCTACGAATCTACAGAGGAATGATGCAGCCAAGGCAAATACGAGAGGGTACAATGATGGCCACAGGGGCTTGGAATTCTGTAACGGTAAGCGATCTCTCCACCGGGTCGAATGAAACCTCCTGTCCGCATCTTCTGAGGCCGCTCGGGGGCGGCCAGGTGGGTTAGTCAGGATACACATGCTTAACATGAGGAGAACTTCAATAAATACATCGCAATGCTGTCCGAGGAGGATGTCGGACTATCATGACGAAAACTTGGCTGCACAGCGAGCTTGAGGCACTGAATGACATACCGGGATACGAGGCCCACTTCGCATCCATCGATAACTTTCGCTCCGGCGGTGTTGCCGTTGGATGCGTCAGAGGCGATTTGTCGTCATTCAGGGTTCACCTGACGAGTTTTGGGAACTGTGACTGCGTAACCGTGCATGTGAACTCCGGCAGAAGGACTGGCAACGATCTACAGATCACCTACCGCAGAGGTACCGTTGACCTCAGCCCGGATACACCTTCGAGGAGAATGCAAGCCAACGACTGACGCAGAAGAGCGGTATGCGTCCAATGCTCTTGCACTGCCGTGTCCCCGGAATCAGTCAGAAGAGCCGTCGCATAAGTCACAGAGTTTCCTTCCGGACTCAATAGTTGTGGGAGCGACGAACTCCAAGACCTCCAGCCAGAGTATCATTACGGAACTTTGCAAATACAGAATACCGTTCTCGAAAGTCAGCGCGCTTGCAACAGATAATGCCGCTTATATGCACAAAGCTTGGGGCTCCAGCTTGGAAGCCGTGCTCTCGAACGCCTCACATGTCACATGTACTGCGCATCTGCTGAATCTGGTGACTGAAGTGTGGTAGCACGGGTTCGTATCTGTAAATTATTTGGTCTCTCCGGTGAAAAAGCGTTCACAGCGAGTGCATCCCCAGAAGCTCGATTCAAGCAACGTCTGCAGGCTTAGGTCAAAGCAGCCGCTCTCCCGCTAACACCCATGATTACGTGTTGGAATACTTAGTTCCGCGCTTCACTCTATCATATTTCATTTTTGGACGACTACGTGTATTCTTTCACCACTGAAGCTGAGTCGTTCCAGTGCATGCATTCTCCGAGTTCTTGACTTGAGCCAATGCCATGAGATCGTCGATGATCTTGGGTTGCCTCCAAAACTATGATTTTTATTTCACGAAGGTACCTGCTTGAGGATCGCCTGAGGTCAATTTTGCCCGCCGATCCGGCGACCAAGCTCTTCGTCGCTTGCCAAGCGTTCGACATCGAGTATGTTCGAATCACCGGGATCGAAACTGAATATTGCCTCAGAAACATCCCTTGAATCGAATTTCGAAGATCTTCACGGTTTTCGGCAGCCCTTCGGAGGGAGACTCACGAAGTTTGGACATTCTGTCTGACTTGACATCCGACCCACGAGTGCAGCAATCGGATAAAGCTTTTCTTGTTCAAGTTATTGGGATACGATTCGAAGAAACGACCAGGAGCCTTGGCGGCGCTGTCCGAAGATTGCTTCGATCGGTTACGCCGAACAGACCCAATCGGCGCGAAAATATCAATCATCTATTCACGCTCACGAACGAAGATCTGACCTACGCTCCTGAGAGCCCCGACACTGATGAGGAAGCAGACCCCGTCGACTTGTCCTCCCCCGTTAGCGATTCGGGCCCAGGATCATCACCCATGCCGTCTCCGGAATGAACGCCAGTCAGTCTTCCACATGCGCGGAACTTGATTCCCATGATTGTCCCACATTTTTTTCCTCAGAACTACACGAACAATGTTCCGGCCGGGAGGGTCCCGACCGCCGAAACGTTTCAAGACACGCTCCGCGGAATTCCCTCATCAGAATGGAACGAGTGGCAAAGTTCGAATTCGTTCGATTTGCGACAGAGTGGTGGAAAGCCTGGGCTCAAGACTTCCCTCGAGCATCGAACCCAATTGGCAGGGTCTACCATGATCATTATTGTTCTTGAGCCATGGGGAGGTTCCAAACCGGCAGGCGTTCGCATGCTTGTAGGTAAGAGTCTTTCGTTATCGACGTTCCTCTAATCCGAAGCTCTTCACGGCTTTGAATGGATTCGTTTCCCCACAAAAAGATCCCTGTTCAGATTCATGGCTCGATCGAATTGGCGTCGGACAGGTCGTCTGTCGTTTGTCCCTTGCTATTTACGTGGATTCTCGCACGTTCATCAAGAGCGCATTCCTAAGGATCCCCACTCTTATCGCTTCCCGGCCGATTCGCACCGCGGCGCGAATATCACGCACTCATTGATGACACTCTCGATTCGTACATGATTGCAACGCGCTTATATTTTCAATCAGTATATATACAACCTTCCATCCAGAAGAGCATAAACGTGCCCATCGCGAAAGGGAGGTTCGTCCTCGACGGGGATTCCCTCCTTCGATACTATTCAGCTCAATCGATGCTCATCCTTGATACTGCGGTCGTTGTAAACCTTGCATATCGGGTTGTTGAGGCCGCTGCTGCATGAATTGAGGCGATTGATTCCTAGACATTTGTTGCTGGTTTTGTTGGAAACTGTTGGACATCAGACCCCCTGAATGAATGTGATCAGATATTAGAACGGTTCGCTGAGTCACGGCAACAGATTTCGGACACTGTCGCTGCTTTCTCGAGTAGGTATATGCATATTCCGTTGAGCCATACTGAATCTCTCACCTTGCTGACCTTGCGGTCCGATACCCTGATTACCGAGAGGATACTGCGCTCTCTGGAGATTCTGCTGATGGGAATATCCACTGGGCACAGTCTGATAGTTTCCGGGGCCCCCTTGCTGCTGCCCGAAGCCCCCCGGGCCCGCCATCATGTTGGGTGGAGGTGCTCCGCGTGGTCGGGGAACGCCTGTCGACAGCGTATCATCTGATTGATATTGGAAACGTTCCGACCTACGAATCAACGAACCTGGCCCCAGGGCGATGGGAAGGGTGTCTGGGACAGCGAAAGTCTCACCTTGATCAGCAAACTGCCCAGGTCCTTGAACGAATTGATTGGGCGGACCTTGGCTGAATTGATTCTGCATCCGTTGGGCAGCCATGGGTCTCTGTTGAGCACCCATCATCGGCATTCTGTGACTGTTCATCATATCTGAAATCGATAAATCCGCTCGCATCACAATAAGGCAGTCGAGAGCGTCGAGCGGCATCGCACGAATTCGCGAATGAGGGATCGGTACTCACAGGAATTCCCTTGCATGCCGCCGGGATACGGCTGGTTCGCTTGGTACGCGGGCTGCGCAACGGACTGCGAAGGCGGGTGACGTTGCCGGAGCATGGTGGATAGAGCGGCCTTCGATTGTGACATGGCTGTCGGCTGCCTTTCGAAGCGTTGCATTTGCTGAGAGGGTTGAGGCCCTTGATTGTAGTACTGGCCCGGTTGTCCCTGTTGACCGACGGGAGGATTACCATAAGCCCAAGTCTGCTGTTGGGCTTGACCAGGTCCTTGCGGCGGAGGGTACATGTCTCCGTAAGCCATCTGTCCACGAGGAGCTTGTATGGCCGTCGGAGCAGGTTGAGCTTGAGCCACCGGTTGCGCTTGACTCGCTTTCGGTTTTCTTGGTCTTCGAGCTTGTCGCGGCTTCCTCGCTCCTCTCGTTGGACTGCTACTGCCAGCAAGCCCCATATGACCCGCTGGCCCTATCATCGTTTGATGAGGAGCCATCATACTCGGTGGCATCCCTTGAGACGGCATCGGTGGCATCTGTTGTCCCGGTCCCATGGGTCCTGGTCCCATCTGAGACATGGGCATCTGACCCGGTCCTCCGAGATTCATGGGACCTGCGACACCCATCTGATTCGCAATCGGTACACCTGAGAAGGGATCAAAGCATCGTTAGCGGTTGCTGAGACGTCGAGAGGCTCTCTCACGAATCTGATGTAATCGGCAGACACCCACGTGTATTCTGAGCCGCCATGGGTCCACCCGGCACCATTCCCGGACCTTGAGGTCCGATGTGCTGTGGGCCCATGTGGGGCGGCATGTTTGTTCCCTGAGGTCCTGGAATTTGTCCTCTCATTCCCTCGATCTGTGGCGGCTGACCCGATTGCCCGGCTTGTATAGGATTGGACGCCATCATCGAATGATTGGGATGTGCCATGACAGGTTTGATGTCCATCATCCCATGATGCGGCCCGCCGGGTACACCTTGACCCATCATGGGGGGACCCATTGCGTTCTGTTGACTTATCGGAGTGTTCATGACGTTGTTGTGCTGTTGGGCGCCATAATTATTCATCAAATTGTTTTGGTTTTGGTTTGTAATGGGAACATGAGGTCCCGTGGGTCCATTGTTGTTTTGCATGACATTGGACAACTGATTGCTCATCGGTTTGCTTGCAGGCATAGAAATCGAAGGAGGAGGGTCCAGATCTTCCTGCGGTATTTGGGGTGGATCGAGAAAATAGTCGCTCGACTTAATGAGACTGTTATGAGTGTGCCACAGCAGACTGGAGTAGGTTTCTTCTTGCCGCGTCGGCTTCCGTTCGACTCGGACGGCACCGAACCATTTCCACATCAAAGGCGCGGGGTTCTTATGACCCTCGAGAAGATCCCACGGAGATATATTCTGTTTCTCAGCTACTTGAAGACCTTGCTTCTTGTCGATCGAATCGAAGCCAGCAATTTTATTTCCTTTCGTATCGATCAGAGACCTGTGAACGAAGGGGAGTATTGTGTCCAATGATGCTGACGATGAGCGGACGGATCTTTCTCTCTCAGATCGGCGCCCCGTTGCAATGATTCGGAATCGAAGGTATTATTAAACTCACCCCATCGGTTCGCAAGTTATGACCGTGCACTGCCGCTTGGGGAACGGCAGGAGCTGGAGCACCAATCGCACGTCGGCGTTTTGAGAAGATTCGTTCACTTCCTTCTTCAATTTCTTGATGAGAGCGAAATATTGTCGCCTTGAATCCTCGGAGAAAGTTCCTTCGTACGATGTATGGATTAGTGTACTGAGCATATCCAAGACCGTGTAGAAGAGTTCCTTGTGAGAGTGTGAGTCGACGAGACCGGTCGTGATTAGTTCGATGAAGATGAGAGCCCAATCCATCGTGTAGGCTGTAGATCGCTGTATCATGTCGAACATACCGCCGAGAAGACTCAGTCTCAGCAGGAGCGCCTCATGGAAACTCTTGCGCGCTCTGAGATCGTCCAGAATCGTTTTGTCGTCACGAGTCGTGTTCAGAGCTTGGTTGATTTGACTCGTCAGCGACTTCAACAGACTCTCCCTGTGTTCGTCATGGCCTTTGAGACAGGACAACATCAACGACAAGAAAGGCTGATGGTGTAGAAGGGCAGCTCCTTTGCATGCTTTGGTGTCTTTCTTCGCTGCGTAAGCCGTCCAGTTACCGCTCTCGAGGGTATGGCCGGCTTGTCGGAGAATTTTCCCCTGCACGCCTTGGAGCTTCGAAACCAAGGGAGCGACGAACCACACGAATTCTGTGTCGTGTTGGGACCTCTTCACAGGCGAATGGCCCGTTGTATTCCTCTTTTCGTCGATCTGCAGGTTCTGAGCATTGTCGCTCAATTGGAAAACATCTATGCTCGCTCGCGCGACGTTATCGAGCCAGTGATTGACGTCGAGCGCCGAGTTTTGCTGGCATTGCATGTGCATCAGTTGGAGCTGCAAGAGTTCAGAATGAAGCTTAGCACACCGGAACCCATCCCTGTCGACGGACATAGACGCGATCGCTCTCTGTCAGCTGCGGGGAGCTCGGCGAGAGCTCGCGGGAATCGCGAGATACGTACCTGAAGCCAAGAGACTCGTAAACTCCACTGATCGAGGTGCGAGAGGATTTTCACCAACTGCTGACGATGATCCGCATTGGAATCGCTGCGTCGGTGTTCGTTGGATTTTTGCGGATAGCAAATGAGTCCGAGAAGTTTCTCCGCTTGAGGATTGGTCAACATAGGATCGAGAAGTAGGTCGGGCGTACACAATATGTCTGGATCTCGAAGGCACCGCTCATGAACCCACTGCTGAGAACAGATTTGAACCAGAGCAAATTTCGCGAAAGCTGCCAGAGGTTCTTTGCCAGCAATGATGAGCGTGTCGGCGTCTTCGAAGAGCTGCGGGTTAATCGTACTAACTTCGGTGTCGCCCAGGAGGAGTATCGCTTTCAGGACAGCGAGTACAGGCTCAACGCGCATACTGTTGTGAGCTGCTAGGAGGAGGTGCCGGTCGCATGCGGTCTTTATGAGATATTTGCCGACGGGCACGGCCCCGGTAATCGACTCCATTGTGCGGAAAAGTCGCAGAAGAAGGTGGCATGTCAGCCGAGCTCCTTTTTCGGAGTTCTCATCGCCGTGAGCCGCTGAAGAGACCGGCGAGGCCGCCAGAAGCGATGGAATCGCCACATGCACGACAAAGTCTTGTAAACTGAAACAGCGGCGTGCTACAAGTATCGACGCGAATACCGCTATGTTGTCATGGATCGAAGTGTCCGAGAGATTTATCTTACTCAGCATCTCCGGATAACCACAAGTATTATTGGCGGAGCAGCACAGCGCTTTCAGTACACCCAGCCATTCGGCGGGCAGCTGTGAGCAGCCAGCGGTCATCTCAGCGCACAAAATAGACACATCGTTAAGTCTCTCGAGATCACGACAGTTCGCGATGGCGATCACAGCATTGCACAAGAACGAGAAACGCGCGGCGGGATTTTCGTTTAGCTGGCTGATCTGGGCGGGCTCTGGTCTGCTTTTCGGACACGCTATGAGTTCCGCAAACTGCGTGGGTTTCCAAACCAACTGCAGTATGCTCGGTGTCTGAGGGGCGTAAAGCGTCTGTTTGATCTGCAAAAGGAGAACAGCGACTGTGATATCGAGTTCACCGATTTTTCGACATTCGATCGATGGGTTGTGGCTCGCTAGATCCGCGAGCGCATATTCGTAAACTGACCTTCGTACACAGAGAACCAAGGAAGGAATCGGCGTATTTCTGCTTGAGAAAGATACACGATTGGTAGAGATCGTGCACGTAGCACAAGGTACATCGTTTAGCGCTGGAGCACTCGTTCATGTCCTCGATATTGGCGACCAATCGACAAAGCGAATCACAAGCCTGCATTGTCTGCTCTTGCGAAGCGAGAAGACAGCAATGGTATCGATACAATAAGCCTACGATATTCATCGTTACTGTCGGCACATAAACTCCAGCTAGAGCGGAAGCTTTGCTCTTGAGCTGAAGCTCCACATCGTAGATTTCTTTGAGCATCTGCAGGCAGAGTTCGAGGAGTCCATTGACGTTCTGCGCCATTTCCATCAGGCTGAAGAGGAATGAGATGTATTCGGCCTGGAATGAGACACGCGAAACTCATGAGATTTAGCTGTTCGTTGTAAGTATACGGGGATTGAAATCCAACGATTGGAGACCCTCATGGAGAACGATATCGATCAGGAGCCCGGAAACCAACGCGGGCCACCAGGGAAGAAATCTTCGCCTGCTCAGCGCTTCGTTCGGCACTCACCAACGGGAGGTAATTCGAAGCTCCAGAAGAGAAAGCGTTCATGATCTCAAGGAGCTGACAAGCCACAGAGGCGCCGACCGCGTGTTGGTCGTTGTAGGGGAGACTTTGGAAGCGCTGAACGATTGCCTCAGTGGACACTGACTCCCTCGCGTGCTTCTTGATCTTTCCTCCCTCAGATATATCCATGCAGGCCTTCTTCGAGAAGAGTTTCATTATGTCCTTCGCGACCTTTTTCACCACATGTCGCGCTTCCTCCCTCGATTTCCCCACGCCGTAGAGGAGAACGTGACGCTGGTTGCTCTCGTGCGAAGCACCATCGAGATCCGAAGTTGGCAGCGGGAAATGCGTCGTGTACTGAAGATGACGTAACTGTTTGCTGCTCAGATGAGATGAACCTTCTTTACCGTCTTCTCGATCCGAGCCCACTGAGTCGGAGAAGAGTTCGGGTTGATCGCTCTGCTGTCCTGAAAAGTGTTCTCTCGATGATACACTGCGCAAGCCAACTCATCGACCGTTGCGGCACAACATCCAGAGCCCGATTCTATCCGTATTGTTCCATGGGAAGAGTTAGGGCTCTTTTGCTTACCTTGCGAGATGCGTTGCACGATTTTGTCAATGTCTGCGTCGACATTGGTATCGTCCATGTCCATTTGGCCCTCGTTGCCTCCCCAAGCATCTTCCTGTTTCACTTGACCACCGGGCTCGAAGAGAGGCAATTGACTGCCTTGACTGTTCGGCGCATTGTTTCGCGAATCAGCGAATCCTATGCCCGGCGACGGTCCGACATTCGGCTCCAGAAAGCCCAGGGACGAGGCCGGGGGCGTGTTCACCGATCTCGAGGAGCAAGCGCCCGGTGGCGGAACCGAAGAGATCGCCGTCGTTGTCTGGATGGCTGCCACCGCAGGCGTGTTAGCGAAGTATCCCCTGGATATCAGGGTACACATGTACAAATCGTGGGAAAATACGTCCCATCGGATAAATTCGGAGAAGAGTAGAACGAGATTGGCGAACGCGAGTCGGGATTCTTCCACTTTCTCGTCTAGTATCGGGGCTTGATTATCGAGGAATTTCACTAGGAGATCTTGGAAAATCGGAGGAGAGGTTGAATCTTCTTCGTCGTCGTCTTTTGCAGGGTTGATCTCGTGCTGTTTGCGCTCCAACAATTTGGCCACGATGAGGGCTCGGTGCTCACCGCGCCTCTTCGTGGTTACCGCCCATTCGCAGAACAGCTTTACCAACGGTTCGAGTTCCTGGACGAAGTTGTTCTTCCCCGATTCTTGTTCGTGATGGCTAGGTGTCGGATTCGGCCATTCGGCGAAGACTTTCACGTAGAGAGTATCGAAAGAGTTGCTGTTGTCGACACGGTCGAAAGAATGTCGATCGAGGGCGTCGAGAGTGGCGAGGACTTTCGTCATGACCGCACCAGTGGCGGTCGATTGCCATTTTTCGCAGGACCACCGCATCTCGCAGGCTCGGCTCCTCTGGACAATCATCTCTTCGGCCTCGCGGAGCTCTTTACGGATCTCCGGGCTGTCCGGAACTATAGGGAGCTGAGAGGGAGAACAAGGTAGGATGTCTAACGGGCTCCCGTTGAGCATCCGTCTCGAAGAAACATCTTCTTTTGGAACCCCATCAGGAACGGTCTGGTTGAACACGAGCGCACTCGGACAGTCAAGAGTCACCATCTGTATGAGGGCACAGATATTGAGGAATGTGTTCCGATGGTAGGAGCAGCTCATGATCTCAACGAAAGCTTGAGATAGGGGGCTAAGTTCCTGTTCGGTGTTCGAGTTATTCTCCTTGACTTTTGGCACGGATCCCACATCTTTCGGCGTGAAGTCCGTAACGAGCTGCGCAACTTTTTTACAGCATTGGTAAATCAATCTACGAGAGAGCATCTCGTTCTTCGCAAAGTCGGTAGAATATTGCATGATCAGAGGCAACGTTATCCTTAGGGTGGGATCGTCGGGCCCCTTCGTCCTTTCCACGAGCTCCAGCGACCAGACTAGAAAGTCTTGCTGATCCAGTAGACCGTCTTGATAACAATGGCTCGCCAGTTGACAGAGATACTGCCAGTGCTTGACAAGAGTTTGATCTGTCGGCGGACTCTGTGCGGGCGGCGACTGTTGTTGCGGTGGGGTTCCCTGACTTCCGGCCGCTGGAGATGCCTGGGGCGGTTGTTGCTGTTCAACCATTCTAAGCAGAAGCTCTTTCATGAACTTGCATAGAGAATGCGTCCAGTCCTGTGACGGATCGGGCAGCTGACGTTTTTTAAGCTTTGCCTCAGATATCGCCGCCGTGTAAACACTGGCCATTTTGACGAACCATGCCGCCCGCACAGTTGGCACTTGGAATTCGAAAAGTATTGTGAAGAGTTCCTCCTTCTTATTGAAGAACGGCACTTTTTTCGACAATGACGTGAGCGGTTTGGAGCCCGCCAAGTCTTTGAACCAGTTCTGAAAAAGAAGCGGCTCTCAGTGCGCGACTATCGAATCCGAACCAGAGGTCCCAATCTAGCTGGAACGTCCAACCTACCTCGAACAAGCTCTTGCTTTTGGCGGTGACGGGCCAGAAGCATTCTTTGATGTTGATCTGTTGTTTCTTCCGACCGGAGTCTATCAAAGTATTGATTTCTTGTTTTTTCGCCAATATTCCAGAGAAGAAGGCACCGAATTTCGCCGCTGTAATATTCGAGTTCCTCGCGGAGCCACATTCATCTTGGATCGGGTTCGCCGAATAGCCCTGTTTGACGTTTGTGGCGGTGATTTCATCCTGGAAATGTTCCCCCGGTTGAGAACGAGAAACTAGACCTCGGAAAATTATCCGACACATCTAAGCTGTTCCTGCCAGTCAGCACCGTAATCGAATGTCAGACATATCCAACTTCAGGCGCGAAAGGGGCTCCTTCAGGGATCATGACGAGTTTCTAAATCATTTAAATACTGATCAGACATTCGATCCCACTGCGAGCCCGAAGACTGTCACGATAGTCGGAATCTCGGCGAGTTGTCTACGGATTGTCGAGCCCTTGGTCGCATTCGAAAGCTCGAGGGTTCACCTACCTCTTTCTGCTTTGGGTCTTGCGGATAGACGTCGGGTGGCCCTAAGCGGGGCCTTTTTAAGGCCCGCTTCTCGAAGAGCCATGGAGCCACCGCCGCCATGTTTGTTGTCATCGGACGCTGACAGTTCACTGAACCTCGGATGGAAACCCGCGGATTATAATCATCGAAACGAGAAACTCCGAGCTCGGAGTTCTCTGTCGCGGTACATCAGATCTCACGGGATCCGAGCACTGCCATCCGACTTTCAACGGATGAACTCAGTGAGAGCCGTCGTCGCCCCGCGGAGAAGTGTTGAAGAAGAACTTTCTGGCGGCAACTTTCGAATTTCGGCTGCCGGTCGCTGCCGGCTATGGCGGGCACAGCGAGCGCCATTGCTCGAAGCAGCACCGATGAGCGATATGAGCCACTGGTTTTTCTCAATGAAGCACGACGCTTCGGCGCGGCGAAACTTTCGGACAGAACTCGATTGCTTGTATCGAGCGCATCCTGAAAGCGAGGGAGCAGCGAGCGACTCACCTCCGATCGTTCCTCCCCTCAACGCCGATCGCTTGATGTGAGGATGAATGTAATCGGAGATGTATAGTTATTCCCTCCGTAAACACGAAGCTTGAAGTTTTCCCTGAATAACAATTGAGCACCCCTCGTCATTGAAACGGCCTGGAATGGGATATCTCTCTCACTCAGCGATTTTTCCATATACCGAACTTCCTCTCAGACTCGATCGAGTTCGTCTACCGGCACCCCATTGTATGATTCAGAACGGCGGGACAATCGAAGACCGAACCGAGAGGCTAGTGACCCGTATCTGACTGCGAGGATAGGTCTTTCAGTTCGATAAAATGACGGCCTACGAGACGAGCGTGCGGCTGAGCGACACGAGACATTATTGTATCTCCGAGCAAGCAATCAAGAATTCCAGAGGAGCATCGCATTGACACGGAAGAGGAAACGAGAAGTCGGGGCGTCTGTGCTCCTATTCTCCCCTTTGAGGGAAAGTTCCTTTGTGGTCCAAATCCGTGACATGCGTGGTCAGCGGAAGGGCGAGAAAAGCATCACATTCGCCTGATCTCTCCGAGCCTTATCTTGGATGAGGGAGAAATCTCCGCGGTCTCGGATGAACTCCGCTTTATTGGTAGGCCGACTTCAGCTTCACATTATCACAAAGTGTCCTCAGTATTCCTCTTCCCAGATTTGCACTCGGAACGGTTGTACTCGGCGAGTCCGTGAGGAATTTAGACGACGTCTCCAGGAAGACCGCGCGATATTCCCACACCAAAAGAGACACAAAACGACCTTTCAACAGTTGCATCTTCCACGGAGCAAGGCGTGTTTGACGAGATTCCCTTCGGCCTGTGTTTTCCGAATTCCTGATCTCTCACATAGTGAACTTACGAGCTCTCGTCTTGTACATGCTCTCGTACAAACGTTCCTTTTCCACCGCCGAGATATATATGGTCACGCTCTCGGTAGCTTCTTCGTCGATCGAGGTAACGTCGCTTGACAACATGAAATAGCCCCCAAGATTCAGTTGAGGAACATCGTAGAACACTGCCAGCAACAATAGAGCGAAGCAAAAACCGCTGAGCAAATACATTGATATAGATACGATGTACCATTCGCGATCATTGAAGCCCAAGCCCGTGTCGCCGTATGGAACAAGGTCGCCCAGACCGATAGTGGTCAATGAAATGAAACAGTAGTACATGGCGTCCATCAAGTTCCAGTTTGGCTCGAGACAGGAAAAAATCACAGACGGTAACATTAAGAAAAAGGTAAAGAAAAGACTTCCGATAAGCAACAGGTTGACGATTTTCAGCTCAAGGGTCGAAGTACGGCCCCGCTTCCCGAAATACTCCATTAGGAAGTTGCACGGTTGAAGCAATCTTTCAACGAGAGCTCCCATGAGCAATAATGTCAGAGGTATCCCCAGCATGGCGTAGATCACCGAAAAAGCTCTCCCAGGCGTCGTCAAGGCTGCGATGCTTCCGTAGCCGACCGTTGTCACGAGAGTAGTGCAGAACAGTAGCGCATTCGAGAAAGTCCATAACAATTGACCGCTTGCATTCCTCGCAGGGTCGATGCGGTTTCTGTGGAGCAATATCGCTTGTTCTAAGAAATCTTCCAAATCAGGATCGCTCAGGTTGGAGTGGTGCAGTTCGAGAAAATTCTCGCGGAAGTTCCTATATCTTCTACGGAGTTCTTGCTCATGATTGTGTTCCAGGTAGGTGAAGACAAGTGCTCCGAAACACAAGTAACACATGAGTCCTCCGAGGAGCGCTAACGTGAAGAAGTTCGATCGTCGCATCCCAAAGAGGACTCGTCGAGCTGTGAGCTCAGACATGACGTCTAGAAGGATTTGTACGCGACTCCTAAGTCCTTATGTTCCGTAGGTTTCCGGCACTCCGTAGATGATGTTTCCCCTGGGATAGGTCATTGCCGGAGAGCATCGATCGGATTCACGCAAGGGACACACGGCAAAGTGTCGAAAAGTACCGGGAGGCAGCGTCTGCTCGGGAAACTCGCCGGAGAGTGCTCAACATTAGATAAGGCAAACAAAGAGCGACGGGAAAGGGGAAAATGCCTCGAAAGCTCATCTCGATGAGACCCGACACAATCAGCGATCAGTTATCTGTGGCTCGCGCGATATACGGAATGATATATTCACGCTGGTCTCTCAACAGCGTGAATCGCTCCTCTATTTTCGAAGTCTCATTTGATTGGTGCTCCCGACGTATGCAGGTCCTTGACGATATGAGCCGGAACCGCATGCTTCAAGCCGATTCCCTGACTACTTCTTGAAAGGTACCATGAATTTCGATCATTCTCTTTTCTTCTCTTTCGAGCATGCCGCGAGAACGCATTTTCCGGGACCTGTAATTAGGCCAACCACATTGCATCGAGATTCAATATCGGGAGTCCGTCTCGTGTCCGAGGCTTCAACGGCGTAGTTTTCGGTTGTCCAATGAGTGCGGACTCGAAGAGTTTCCTGTTCTCAATCGGCACTTTTCCGGGTCCACAGAGAGCCCTCCTGTCGGCATGAGATGCCGGGAGGATTGAAGAAAGATTCAAGCAAGCTCGGGAACGTCGCCCCTGCTCCGAGTAGATCTCAAAACATCCGATACGCTCCATCAAGACCTGAGCACTGAAACGGATCTCGGTTGACGAACTCGATCCACTCCAAAAAGTCGTTCGCTAGGTGGAAAGTGCCTTATGCGGGATCGTGAGTTTTCGACTCGATCTCACGGCCCCGCTTCTGCCTTCTGGTGGGAGAGTCCTTCAGACTGAGCGTGGGCATCATGAGACGGGGTCGGAGGCTCGAACTCCGTCTCCGGGAAGTCTTTCTAGTGAGGAGTGAGGACGGAATAAGTTCCTTAACCGAAACGTGGCTCTTAATCCGTGGCCGATTTTTATCCGAGGCGATACCCCGCGACATCTCCAGGCTTATGATTACGGAAAATGGGATAAGGAATTGCATTCCAGTGGACCAGCTGACTTCCGATCTGGAAGGCGCGAGCTGCTTTCCGGGGAGGCGCGAGGTTCCCGGACTAGCCTGACTTGTAGGCAGCGAGTTGTCAGCAAATGCGAAAGATCCCCGTAATGCTCTCATCAACTCATCTTTTCTCCCCATGATCCTACGTGGAGCTTCTCTCATCCGTGGGTTTTTCGGCATTTTTGATTAGGCGTCTTGATGGTCTCATTTATCAGCGTCATTCTCATGTCCGATTACAAAACTGCTGCACTCGGGTACTGCTCGTTCTGCCCCACAGTCACAGGGCGCACATATCCCAAATCTTCTTTATTCTGTAGATGAATCCATCGAAGCTACCGTGACCCGACAGAATTCGAGTCAGGTTGTAGGTGAGCTCTCTAGCCGAGGAAGGAGTTATCTCCCCGAGAAGGGAACTCAATCGATGTTGTCCGGCCTCGTCAGTCGGAGAACGAGCTCGTTCAATGTCCCGATATGGCATTGATGGGATCGGTCGGCAGTTCCGTTGTGAACTTCATGGACTGGTTCCGTGAAACGCCCTCCGAGCATCTCTCTCGCTGAACATGAAAATAGCATTTTGTTGAACAAATAGATAGAGCCAATGTCGATACTTTGGAGGAATATCGCTCAGCGACTCTATGCTACCCATTCACTCTTGGTAACATCAATCCGAAGGACTATATAATAAGCGCGTTGCCAGCAGTGAACAAATTTTGAAAAGAGGGATCACATCACGAACGCTTCATTTGATAGCTCATCGCCTTCTGTATCGGTTGAGCTTGACTTTTTTCAATCGTCTCTCCGCATAACGGAAACGCTCCGGAAGCACTGGAAGACTCGGCCCGGTGGGAAACGGACCTTGGCTCTGAGCACGGAAGCCGAGGGCTCACGGTGTCCCCCTCCCGTTCCTTTTGTCAGCATGTGCCGCAAACAATGCTGAGCGTGAAGGTTACCGCGAGAAAGCCCGAGTCATTTTGCATAAAAGTATCATCAGTCGAGGTGTTGGATCGGCTTCTCCTGCATCGAGCGCATTTCCTCTACAAGTGATCGGGAATGAGGCGGCACGTCGTCATATTCGTGTTATGTTTCCTGTGTTTGCAACAGGTGAGGTCTGAACGTAGGCCTACGCGCGCGAAAACGGTCAGCTCTCAGAATTCGCCGGTGCTATCTGCGCGCCAACAGGAGGCACGTCAGATGGAAAATCTACCCAAAGTGAATAGCGAAGAGTTCCGCCGTCGAGCCGAAACTTTTTTCAAGAATGCGACTCGTATGGTCGGTATGACCAAAAAAGGTTCCGATGCCGCATGGAAGATACTCGTTAAATACTCAGCCGTCGACCAAGTCGACCCGACGAGGAAGATTTCACCCCAGGAGGAAAAACGTCGCAAGGATCAAATCGAGCAAATGAGAGCTGAAATCCAGAAAACTCTCAGTAGTGGCGATAGGAGAAAACTCGCCGAGCTCGAGCGGAATTTGAAGACGGAAATCAATAGAAAAGTCAAAGCCAGGAGCTGAGGGAGCTCAACCGCGCGGGACGCGTCATATCCGTGCAGGAAAGGTTATTCCCCATCTTGAACTCGAACGGATCTATGGATATGACGCGAAATCTTTCTCGAGCGAGCTCTGGAAATGCCGGGCTGAGGATCGACGTCCTCAATAAAGAACAATTCCAATGAACTTTTCCGATCGATTCTCCTGATTAGGGACTGCTACGCCGGTGATGCAACATGCGCGCCTGAGGGGAACTCCTCGACTGGGCTTCATCGTCATCGATCTCGGGGCGATAATATATATTTACGCTCATTAGGGCCTAGGGATCTTCTCTGTCACCATCGTTTCTCGGAGGGATTTTCGAATCCAGCGAAAGGAGGAAAGGTATGAGCCCCGCACCGCGAGGGAGCGAGGCAACTACAACTTAGCCCTGAATCGGCAATCATAACTTACAGCTCCCACCGAAGGTTGCTCATCTTCGATCCATAGATCTGGGGAAAGTCGATTCGAAAAATTCTCTGGACGAGCTGGTTATGTTATTTTAGTCAGCTCCCTGAGGGCACTCATTAATCTCTGCGGGACAAACGTCTACCCTGGCTCGTCGACTTCCACATGACACGGCTCAACTCTCCGTCGCTCAACACCTGGCCGGTATTTTGGTCACAAAGATCGCTCGTCCTCCAAGAGATCTGTGTCTCTTGTGTGTGTGTGTGTGTTTTTTTTCTCCCTCAGAGCCCACCACAATATCTTTAAAAATAACCTACGAACAACAGTTTTTTTTCGGAATCTGTCAACGCCGAGACTATATTTTTAACAACGAATTTCTGTGCTCTCGTGTCACGGCTCTCAGGTGGACTACCCTCTGTGCACGCTCCCTTTCCGTCAGTCTCTTCGGCACTTATCTCAAGTCCGTTCTCCCCTTCTCTGGCATCGAAACAGGGCGTCAAGAGAGCAAGTGACGAAATCGCGCGAAGCTTGTGCGCCATTAAAGTCCAGACCATTAAAACGGCTGGCAGCCACTTGCGATTAGCTTGCGTTAGTCGCAATCTGCAACGAGAATGAACCGTCGGAGAAAGTGAAATTGAGTGTAAAATTATCCACTGAGATCTTCCGCACTCCGGCAAAGCGACAGCTCTGTGTCTCGCGCAGAACAGCGGGTTTCTTCGCAGCTGAACTTCTGGAGCGCTCCGCGCCGGGAAGGCGACGGAGTTAAGCGCGGTCGGGATGCCCCCAAGAGACTGAGTTGTTTCTCATTATAGGGAGATCTTCGTCTGACCTCGCGGCGACGGAAATATTCATCGAATCGATCGCGATCAAAGGATTCACTCATTGACTGCTCGCGAAAAGCTCAAGGAGCTCCCGCGCCCATACCTGCCGGCATATACGATGTTTTCCAGGCCTCCCTCTCGATTCAACATGAGACGATGAGAACTCTATGGCGGTCCGCAGATCTCCGCTTTCTTTCGGAAGGGGAGGAATGTGTCCACTCATTATTTCTCCGGTAACAAGTTTGTCCGGAATACTCGCCGGAAATGAACACAATCGTGATGACGACATGAGCGTCTCGTTGTTCAACTAGGGACCTACAATTATCGAGAAAGAGGCCATAGGTCTAGAATCTGGACCAAAAGAGGTCCACAAGGACCCTCAGGGGATCGTGACATGATATTTGGCATGTGAGGGCGATGGGAGCTCTTAAACGATCATGTACCGCATAGATTTTTTATAGTTCTTTGAGTCGCCGCATAGTGTCGGCGTATGTCATTTTTAGGAGGATGAAGATTTCCAATGATCGTGGATGACCGTCTGCCCATGCTGCAAGCTTGTAATCCAAGCAGAGAGCCGCGATGAAGCGCCAGCGATGCGCTCGGGAGCCCTTCTCGCCCACCTCATTCAAAGAGAATGGAATTCGTTAAACATCACCTTGCATGTCTTTCAAAACGATCAGGTCGAGATGGATTTTCGGAGTCGCATCCGCTGAAGACCTTGCCTGACTACTGGCATCGTCTTCAGCGGATGCGACTCTCGGCTGTATGTTCGAATCGTCACAGTATCTCCGCAGCGTACATGACACCCGACTTCCGGACCTGGTTGGATCCAGCTAAGCTGAGACTAGGGAATGTCACCGGTGACGATTCCTTCGCCTCGGTCATTACATGAAGTGCCTCGCCGAGACGTTACGTGCGGCGAGATCTGAGTTAGATAGTCTGGACGAATTCTCCGCGGCTCCATCGACTGTCGAGTGAAGAACTCACGAGACTCGTCTGGCAATCGGTTTCACCTAAACTTGTGAATTGAGTCCCGCCCAGAGTCCACATTACCAATGCAAGAATATCTTACTCGGCCTCCGAGGGTAGTTCGGACGATCTCCAAGAATATACAGACAGTCGGCCGAAAGTCGCGAGGGCTATGTCCCAGAATGCTGATGTTTATGACTTGATGGCTTTTCCGCAACGGGAGGGGAGAAGAAGAATCACATCCACTAAAGAGCCGGCGCGGCGCCTT